GGCTGGGCTACCGCTAAGTGGGTTCGTGACCTGAAGCCAAGCAATTCATGTCTCCCAGGACCTCGGTTTCCTCACCTACAAAACAACGGGCTGAACCGGTGATCTACACAGTTCATCCGTAGACTTTATCCAAAATACCAAATCAAAACCAAACAGGCGTTTCAGCTCTCAGTGCGAAGACAAACCCTTAGCGCAAAGGTCAAAAAATGAAATTCATAAATAGTGATCACCACGCGAGATTGGTTTTCCAATGGCTTTTTTCCGTTCTGCCTGGCAATAAACGTGTGTGGTGTGCTGGGTCATTTCTTGACTCAACTCCCACCACCACCAAGCCATAAAAACCAGGGAGGGCCGGGGCTGGGAGGGTGATTGAGACTTCATAGCTATCGAGAGGCGGCCACTCCTTTGAGGAGTTCGCTTTGAATCAAGCGGCCGCGGCGATTGGTTGCGAAGCACGTGGTGCGCGCAGGCAGGACCGCGAGGGGGTTACTGCTGCTCCTGCCCAGCGTGGGGCAGAATCCCGCAACCCGCGCTGCACTCGCCGTAGGTGGGGAGGGTAGACACAGGCGACATGTCTGGGACCCGAGTCTGTCTGGCCCCTGCCGGAGAGAAACCTTATGTCCTGACTTGCTAGTGTCCTCAGAGTGTCCAGACTTGTGCCCTTTCCCTTGCCACTGTCTCCCTCTGGTGTCCCACCCAGCGCGCTGGCTGTGCGCGCCCAGGGCGCGTGCCGCAGACACCCAGCTTGCTCCTGGCCACCTTTTCCTGAGCATCTCAAAGGTTCTGGCACCCGGAGCGCATAGCCTCGGGCTACCCTCCTCTGCGGTGGGTCCCCAATCTCCGGGGCCATCCACTAGCTAGGTTGGCTCAGAGAGGCCACAGACCCCCAACCTGGGGAAACTTATTTTATACACTGTCCTGGAGGGTTGCAGCTGCTAGAGGCTGAGATGGTGTGTCCGCTTTGTCTCCGCGCACTCCCCGCACCCTCCCCCGCTTCCGCACGCGATTAACTCCCCCGACACGCTCTTCCCCAGCTCCTCTGCACCCCTTCCCCCTCCTTCCTCCCTCCCTTCCTCCCCCCCTTCCTCCCCTCGGCCGGCCGCGCTAATGTGCTCCCCCCTCCCCCGGTGTAAGTCTCTTTGCATACGCGCCCCCTCCCCTCCCCTCCCTGTCTTCTCCTCCCCTCCTGCCCGCGCCGCTTATAGCCCGGCGCTCGGCGGCTGGGCGCAGTCTGCTCCAGCAGCCAGAGAGGAGGCGGTGCGGCGGTGGCGCTGCGGAGACCGGGTCCTGACGCCAGGCGGCTGCCGGCGCGCACTGCGCTTCCCAGCTCCCTCCCCCGAGTGCACAGCCCGCCTTCTTTTGCGGCGGCAGCGGCCGCAGGCTCACTCTCCCCTCCCGAGGCGCGCTCCGGGAGACGCTCCGCTGGTCCAGGGCGCAAGGTCCGCGGTGTGGAGTCCCCGGGCGCGGTCCCCTCTCCGCCTGTCGCTCCATGCACGCTCGTTTCTCTAGGTTTGTCGCCGCCGCTTCCTGGGTCTGAGACGCCCGCTTCGTCGCCTCCCCGCCCGTGACCGAGGCAGGCACCCAGCCGGTTGTGCGCCGAGGCCAGTGGCCACTGCTGTAAGTTTTCCCCACTGCCCCGGACCTGTTGCGGGCGCCGCGGGTTTCAGGGCTTGGGCTGTCGGGGTGTGATCGCCTGGGCCGAGGGTGCACCCAGCAGCCGGGAGCCCCGACTTAGGCCAGGGGGATAGCTGATCATGGGGCGGAGACCAAGGTGCCCACTCCTGCCCTCGCACAGTAAGCGGAGCCCGATCTCTCTGGAGTGGCCGCACGGCGTCCCCTCCACCGCGCAACGCCCGGGCAAGTCCCGGGGACCGCGAGGAGCCAAGTCGGGGATACCGTCAGCCCGGCTCCCCGCCATCTCCGGGGCCCAGCGCGCACCTGATGGTTGGCTCACGTTGCATCCTACCCGGCTACGGAGACAGTGGCTACCGCGCGCAGGACACCCCCCCCCCACTCCGCCCCCCTTCGTGCGGGCAGTTCATTAGGGCCAGACGCCTGTGGGGAATGAATGAAAACTGGTTTCTGAAAAACTAGTTTCTTCTCGTGCAAGCCTTTGCTTTTAGAGTAACACTATTAATTTCAAAGGACAGGAATCGGTGGGCGGGATGGAGATGAAACATTGAACTTGTTCCACATGCAATTTGATGTCGCCCTCACAGGCATGACCAGCGTCTTAAACAGCGTTGCAATTGTCACAGAGGTCTATATGGCAAAAACTGTTTTTTGAACAGGAACCTTACAACGTTCATTGTGTAAATAGTGTAAATGCGGGAGAACATCTGCCTAGTTTCTCCTTTGATAGGGTTGAGATCAGGATTAAAACCTGGAGAGACTTGAGGTGCACCAAGTATTGGCGGCAAAGAGCCTGGTAAGGAGCAGTAAGTGAGCCGAAGTTACTGTAACCAGAAGCTCTTTTGAAGTTCGCAGTAATAGCAGCCCTTTTCTCTGTGTTCTTTGTAGATGCAGGTTAAGTATATGTGTGTATTTTCTTGGCCACAACCTTGGCATGTAAATATTACGTCTCTGGGGGCTTAAAAAATGCCGGGAAGAATGATTTATGTTGAAGGTGTATTTAGTGACAGCATAAATGGGTTTTTGTGAATATTTTGATGTTTACATAATTCTAAACCAGAAATCAAGGTGTTTCCCGTGAGTCTTCAGGTTACCTTTATTTTAATCATACATTGCTGCAGGAATGTTAGATGCTGATGGTGACATGCTTTTTCAATTGGATGGTATCCAGGATGACAGAGTAGGTTCTTCTGGCTTTCTAGGCCAGCCTGGAACATACAGCAGCATAAACACAGGACTGAGGGAAATGCATTCATCCTGTATCCTAAGGTCTTCTAGACAAACTGTTTTCTTAAGTGTACACCTGGTTGTGAATGTTGTTTTACACTGCCCTGAGTCTCATGTTTGGGGACACATGTCTGCGTCCAGCTTGGTTCCAGCTCAGTGCAAAGGACTCTGACACTGGGTGCCTGGTTGCAGGGCTCCTGTGCTTCATTCAGAGCTGCCTTTCCTCTTAGCCTGAGAGGAGACAGCTTTCTAGAAGTATTTAGAGAGTCTTGAGCATTGGGCTTAGACTCTTCCTCAAAATACTTCAGATTGAATGTACTCATTCAAATGGCATCCACAGTGTGGAGAGCGGAAGATGCCACTGCGTGTCTGAACAATTCACAGTTCATAGAGGCTCCTGTGGGTCATTGTCCAGAGCTTTGGGCATGGTTAAAATGGACTAGAAGGACCAGGCTTAGCTTGGAGCGGAGTGATGCTTGGTCCTCACCCTTTTCACATGCCCCCCACACTGTGACTTCAGGGTGGGAGCTCTAAGACTTTGTTGCGTATTTTGTTCCACTAAGTCATGTTTACTTCTAACCAAAAGCAACATTCCAACATTAAAGGAAAACAAGTTATATCACCTAATGATATGTGGTCTGAGTGTCCAAGACATGTCAGATGCCTACCTTGTTGTTTTCTGTGCTATCTTTCCCAGCTGGCTGGGAAAGTACAGTTTAGTATTCTAGCCCCTGAATCTGGTAAATCATTTGCATTTGTTAACAATTCCTGGAATATAAATGAAAAATAAATACTTGAATGGTTGAAGGAAAAAACACAAGTTTCAGCTGTGCTGTGAGGACTGTGTGAAACAGATACTGTAATCAACTACACAGCCCACCCTGTGGGGATAAACAGCTTCAGGAATCCCTGCTCAGGCAGGTTCTTGAGGTCCTTCTTTCTTTGAAGTAACAGAGGTGTAAGGTAGAGGGGGCTTCAATTTTTGAAGATGGATAATAGACATTTCCCAGATCTTTATCTTACAGTTTCCTTATGGCAGAAAGCCAAAAGGTAGCATTAAATTCTGATGTCATTTAAATTTAGATACTTAGGGAAACACTTCTGTCAGCAAATAATTCTAGGGTGACTTTAAATTAAATTAACAATGGCTAGCAAAATACATATCCATTTACGGCATGTACACACACATATCCCTTGTGCCCCTCTGTGTTTGTGAATTTAAATAAAGCAGCGTTTGCATTTTGAACTCCCTGTCTGCAGATGCCAGCATTTGCAGGTACACAAAAAGAATCCTGGTGGTACACTACTTAATCAAAAGATGGGTGAATGCATCCTTTGTTCTTGTGACTGGTTTTCCAAGAACTGGTATAGAGCAGGAAGAATGGAAAAACAGCATGTGCATGCTACTCAAAATATTCTTTTATGTATCAAATCCTCATTTTGGAAGCTTCCAAGAGCCAGAAAGGTGGGCAGTGATTGTGGCCAGAATCCATTCTGTGCTTTCTCTGCAGCTAGTTGATCAGTAGATGGTAATGTTTAAAATTGGGGTACAATTAGAACTCTAGGGGTAGAGCTGTCTGGTTAGAAATGATCTGTTAACATGTAAATAAAGGTCTGTCCAGAAGTTGGACATTTGCTGTAGATGCAGTTTGGATCTTACCAAAAGAATTCTTAATGGAATTAATTAGTAGGTGTTTGTTTTACACATGGCTTTATGTTGCATAGGGCATTAAAGCCAGGGTTCATCCTGGCGTTACGAGAGCAGGAGGCTTGGCATTTTAAGTGGCCTGCAATGAATCAGCTGGACTGGCACAGGGAGCTGTGAGAATGAGACCTGCTCCGTTTGGCTTTTGCTGACTGACAAAAGAATCTCACGGCCTTCAATATCCTATAAGTTGGTAGTCGGGTTTTCCAAGATGAACCTGCTTTTAAGCAGGGATTTTTTTTTTTTTAAACAAAACCAAACTGTTTCCTTCCAGGTAGTTGTCTCTGGCTTTGTTCTGGAATGGTCATACCCTATCCAGAGCAGTAGGCAGCAGGGCTAACAACAAAGTGTTCTGTTTTCTTAGTGGAAAATGTTGCTTTTCTTTTGCTTCTGGGAGTACTAGGTGCATTCCTGTTGTTTTGTTTTTTAGGAGTGGAAACAAAATGTCAGTCAGCGTGCATGAGAACCGCAAGTCCAGGGCCAGCAGCGGCTCCATTAACATCTATTTGTTTCATAAGTCCTCCTATGCAGACAGCGTCCTCACGCACTTGAACCTCTTGCGCCAGCAGCGCCTGTTCACCGATGTCCTTCTCCATGCTGGAAATCGGACCTTCCCCTGCCACCGAGCAGTGCTAGCCGCGTGCAGCCGCTACTTTGAAGCCATGTTCAGTGGCGGCCTGAAAGAGAGCCAGGACAGTGAAGTCAACTTCGACAATTCCATCCACCCAGAGGTCTTGGAGCTGCTTCTTGATTATGCGTACTCCTCCCGGGTCATCATCAATGAAGAAAATGCAGAATCGCTCCTGGAAGCCGGTGACATGCTGGAGTTTCAAGACATCCGGGATGCATGTGCAGAATTCCTGGAGAAGAACCTGCATCCGACCAACTGCTTGGGCATGCTCCTGCTGTCTGATGCGCACCAGTGCACCAAGCTGTACGAACTGTCCTGGAGAATGTGTCTCAGTAACTTCCAAACCATCCGGAAGAACGAAGATTTCCTCCAGCTGCCCCAGGACATGGTCGTGCAGCTCCTGTCCAGTGAAGAGCTGGAGACAGAAGATGAAAGGCTCGTGTATGAGTCTGCAATTAACTGGATCAGTTATGACCTGAAGAAGCGCTACTGCTACCTCCCGGAACTGTTGCAGACAGTGAGGCTGGCACTCCTGCCAGCCATCTATCTCATGGAGAACGTGGCCATGGAAGAACTCATCACCAAGCAGAGAAAGAGTAAGGAGATCGTGGAAGAAGCTATCAGGTGCAAACTGAAAATCCTGCAGAATGATGGTGTGGTGACCAGTCTCTGTGCCCGGCCTCGGAAAACGGGCCATGCTCTCTTCCTTCTGGGAGGGCAGACTTTCATGTGTGACAAGCTATATCTGGTAGACCAGAAGGCCAAAGAAATCATCCCCAAGGCCGACATTCCCAGCCCGAGAAAAGAGTTCAGTGCATGTGCAATTGGCTGTAAAGTATACATTACCGGGGGGCGGGGGTCCGAAAATGGCGTCTCAAAAGATGTCTGGGTTTATGATACCCTGCATGAGGAGTGGTCCAAAGCTGCCCCCATGCTGGTGGCCAGGTTTGGCCATGGCTCTGCTGAACTGAAGCACTGCTTGTATGTGGTTGGAGGGCACACGGCTGCAACTGGCTGTCTCCCTGCTTCCCCTTCCGTCTCACTAAAGCAAGTAGAACATTATGACCCCACAACCAACAAATGGACCATGGTGGCCCCACTCAGAGAAGGTGTCAGCAATGCCGCTGTAGTGAGTGCCAAACTCAAGTTGTTTGCTTTCGGAGGTACCAGTGTTAGCCATGACAAGCTCCCCAAGGTTCAGTGTTATGATCAGTGTGAAAACAGGTGGACAGTCCCGGCCACCTGTCCCCAGCCCTGGCGTTACACAGCAGCAGCTGTGCTGGGGAACCAGATTTTTATTATGGGGGGAGATACAGAGTTCTCTGCCTGCTCTGCTTATAAGTTTAACAGTGAGACTTACCAGTGGACCAAGGTAGGAGATGTGACAGCGAAGCGCATGAGTTGTCATGCTGTGGCTTCTGGAAACAAACTCTACGTAGTGGGAGGGTACTTCGGCATCCAGCGATGCAAGACTTTGGACTGCTATGACCCAACCCTTGATGTGTGGAACAGCATAACCACAGTCCCGTACTCGCTGATTCCCACTGCGTTTGTCAGCACCTGGAAACATCTGCCTTCTTAAATGCAGTGTGTCCTAAAGCGAGTAAGCATGAGGTAAGAAGGTTTAGCTGGAAATGTAAGTATGTATTTCATTAGGCTCGTTGTCTAAGTTCAGAATGTAGAGTGAGACAGCATCCATATAACCTACACAGAAATACTACAAAAACTGTAAAAACAAGAGATGTCATACCCCTAGGACTTAACCACTCGTGTCGACCACAGCTTACACCCCCAACATCAGCCAGTGCTTCGCAGCCATCACTGAGCCTCAGAATCTGCCAGCCTTTGCCAGTGCTGCTCATCGTATTCAGTCAGGTTGAGAGCTGCAGGCCTCTGTTAATGATGCCAGCTCGGGTTTCTCGAGGGCTCACCTGTGCCTGGAGCAGTGCTGTGTATTTCACATGGATGGTCCCATTTGGTCCTCACACCAACCCTGTAGGGTATTATTACTTCCTCACTGTGTAGATGAACAAACATGATGCACACAGAGACTAAGTGAGTTGCCTGAGGTCATAGAACTTACTAAGCAGTAGATTGGTCCAGAGCACAAGCACTCGAGCACTCCACCTAATAACTTGAGCTTCATACTGGTATCATCCCAGGAGATACTTACTCGATACTCACTTTTGCTTCCTCAAATCCTTACTGGACTGAATGGAGTTTAAAAAATTCATTGCTTAAGTTCATTCTTTGTTTATTTTCTCCAAAATTTTTATTAGCATATTTCATTTTTTTCCCTCAAAACACAGCCCCTTTTTAGGGCATTTATTAATTTTAGAGGGGATTCTAGGCCTGTCCTTGTAAAAGGTTGCATCTACATAGTTCTTGGTTTGATGTACAGATGCATGGAATCACCTGCACGACCCTACTGGCTTCCTTTCAGAGTTAATCCGTCAGGCTGACCCTATTGTTGAGACTAACAAAAGTTGTTTTCTTTGTCATCTATCTCAGTACATAATGGTGGTTCTGTGTACATGAAAGTATATTATACTCTTGGCTCTAATAATGAATAGGCCTACACAGTTTAGGTTTGCACACTCATAGCTGCTTCGCCACTGCTAAGTGTTCTCAGGATTGGACCCAAGAATCTCCTAAGCATGTGTAAGTGTAGCAGATTTGTTTTGGTGATTCATGTGCTTATTACTAATAATAAGAGAAGAAAATAACTGTGCTTTGGGGGAAGTACAATGGATTAACTCATTACTTGGAAACTTTGACTCTGTTTTCCTTAGGATCTTTCATATCTTTGAAGGGCACTTCAAAAGGAAAAAAGCAGGGGGGTGGGGGGACAAGGGTAGCTGTAAGCTAAACTAAGAAAGGCTTCATCTTTTTTTTTTTTTTTTTTTTTTTAGAAAGGCTTCATCTTACTGGTCTTTTCTTTCCCTATCTCTTAGAGCTTCTTTACAGACATCATTAAAATTGGCCTAACTTTCACATTTCATCAGTGTTTCTCCCCCCCACCCCTTTATCTACCTCCTGCATCCTGTTACAGTTAGCAGAATTCCTAGTAATGCAGTGTTTCCTTGAAATGAAACTCTCTTCCAAAGGAGTGCTGAGCAGTCAGAATTCTCCTCTGGGAGCAACTGGGCTGACAGTGTCCCATACCAAACTGGTTTTTGCAGCCTTGCTGGCATCTCAGTAATCCTGAATAAACAAATGCTCTGAAAGTGGTTATTTCATTTGAGATACGAATGTGTGACTCAACTCCCAAGCAGGCTTAAAGAACCTTGTAGGCAAAAGCACCAATTAACAGCACCCTAAATTAGGTGTTAGTCCAGAACTGACTAGATTTGCACAGAAGAGCCGTGAAAATTGCTAGTGATGGTATGTTGGAACACCAAAAGTGGCCATTGGTGGACCTGCTGGCCCTTGGAGCAAGATAATGATATCCAGAAGGGGAAAGAGACTACATATGTGTTCTGGTCCTAAGCTCTAAGTTCTAGATCTTTTTGGACTTAAGGCTACTCCTCTATCAGATGAGATCTATCTTGGGTGAGATCAGACTTGGGTGAATTGTCAAATTGGGGATAAGAGTAGGGGTGAAAATATTTAGCTCAGTGTCTGGCATAGGTTGAATGTTTATTACTCACAGTTTTCTTTCCTGTCTTCAGGAAAGGACCTTGCTCTGAGCTCCAACTATGAAGTTAGCCTTGTATATGGTGGGGAAATCAGAGTTCTTTGACTATTATCTGTCATCTTTATTCTTCATTTTTGGTTCCTCCTTTTTGAGGCCGGAGTATGTTGGCAAACACTTGAATTCACCTTATCCTGCGTGTTGGATGCTTCTCATCCCTGGAACACAGAACAAATAAAGTGCTGGGTTATAGTGATACAACAGCCACTTCGCCTTTGGTGCCACCAGGGAGAGTCAAGCACTTAAAAACTGGGTTCTGTTAGGGCCAGGTTTGCTGCTTTTAAAGGGCGACATGAGTGCCTGATCAAAGGCACTCTGTCAGTTTCCTATAGGAAGAATGTTGGCTTAAATTTCTAAAGTTTACTACTCACAAGATAGTGCTAAAACATGTACGCTGGATGGAGTGACTTAAAGCAGTGCCCTGTAGGCCTCAATCATAAAAGTGCGGAAGCCTGTATCCCTCTGTTCTCCAAATGTAAGGTGCTAACTGAATTAATCCAGGGTCAACAAAAACCTCCCCTGGTCTGAAAGCTCAGCCACCAAGGAGATTTTAACTCCCCTGCTGCTCTTGTCAGTGGGTGGGAGGGACAATAAGGAAATTACTTTGATTATCCCCTATTTTCATGGTGCCCCATGGTACCAACCCGAGGGCATTTGGATATCCATTTGCTTTATTTTTTCTCTTAAATTTTCTCCCCTTTTTGTGTGAGCATGCAATGTCTTGAAATTTTATATTATTACAAGATACATTCATTGGGCCTAATGTGGATATACAGGTTACAAGGAGGTGGGGTTGTGGGATGATACCTTAGTCTAAGGAATGCCTTGAAGGCTTGAATCACTGTTAAGAAATGGCCTAAAGAAACAACTAGGAAATGAATCAGACTTCTGCACACATAAAAGCGCAGGAGAAGAATTCAGTGCAATCAATGAGTGGCCCCTCTAGAATTTCCCTTGTCAGTACTTAGAGTTGGAGCAGTAGAGACACAGATTCTAAACTAGGGCTGGAAGCATGCTTTCTGAACAGATCGGGGTGAGTGTTTTAAAAGCCCTCTGCAAAAATTCCCCTGTATGAAATCAGAAGTAAGGCAATGGGAGTTGGGGTTAGAGTCACACTTAATGTTGTGGATTCTGTTGATAATAGCACTCACATACTGCACTGGCTCCTGAGTGTAGACTAAGGGACTCTGAGAGTAAGCTCCATCCTTGGGCTATCAAGGCCTCAAGTGTTGTCAAGTGAAAGGAAGCGAGACTGATTTCTGCCATAGAGAGTATTGGAGATGCATTTAAATAAGAGGATTAATATGTCTGCCTTCTATATGGTGAATAAATTTAATTTGGAATCCTTTACCAATGGTCAAAGAGAGTTTGCTCAGGAATCTCTTTTTGAACCTCCCCTCTAGTGATTGCTTTACATTAGTGACTCAGTGTAACCAGAAATTTTATGAATGTGGGAAAGAGGAGATGCCAACTCATAATAACATCTAAGTCTATAGGTTTGAATTTGAGTCACACTGTGCACATGTGAGCACATTTAAGACAAGTACTTTTAAAAGTATTCGCACAGTTCCTACTGAACATGTAATTAAGATCTTTAGAAGCAATATTGCTTAGCTCTGTCCTGAAGTTTTGTGTTTTTTTCTTTAAATTTTGCAGTTACTAACATCTTAAAATCATGGCATCACAAATCTTTCATGCCTTTTGGTTTTGTTTTTTCTTTTCCTTCTACTTTAGCTCATTCCATCAGTTGGTGAGACAATATGAGATTTCTGCTTTGGAGAGGCCATGTTGAATGAAGAGAAAGAAAAAAAGAAGTTGTACAAGACTTGCATACCATCCGCTGCACCTTGTCAATATTCTCTAACTGGACTCGAATGAAGGATGGGGGTGGGGGTGGGTGGGATTTCATTGCAAGTAGCACATGGTTTAAATATGAATGAACCTGTGATCTAGTCCTTGTCTTGTAATTGTGGATTAATGTCAGCGTTAATCAGCCCCTCAAAGGGAGAGAAAAGCTGGACCTTTTCCCTTGCTGTACCACATTCAGCGTTTGATTTCCATGGGCTCCACCATTTATGTGTAAAATTTGAAATGGTTGTCACCTCTGTCTGAGGAGTGAGCATGAAGCCTCCACACCAGCTGCTGTTGGAGACTCAAAGAAAGCCCAAGTGTGGGTCAGGAGGGAAGCTGGCTGGGCTGGCTGAAGAAAGAGGACTGCTGGACTTTTCCCTTAATCTCCAAGGGGTTGTGCCTCCCCCCTTCCCCAGGAACGCCTGTGAACAATGGGGACATTGTTGGTAGCCTTTAGGTTGATGTTCTTTTCTATTTATAAGTGACTTTAAACTTTCCCTTGGCTGTTAAGAAGTTCGTTATAGATTTAGCTATTTATTGTTCGAGGCCTGCATGCTGAAACAATGCTTACAGTTGTCTTCACGTGTATGGACGTGCGTGAATGGTTGTATGTTTTGCACATTTTGTGGCTGTTGAGATGTGCTTTGTTGCACAAAGATGAACATTTTAGGGTTACAGTTTGGAGTATAACTGGAGGGTGGGGTGGGTTTTTGAAATGTCAAGATTGGGAAGGATTACAAAACAGAAAGTTAAATTACATCCCAGAGGCAGAGAAACCATGAAGGTCACTTTTCATAGACTCGCCACTTTTACTGGGGTTTCATGGGGTCTGGTCATGCTGATGGCTGATGGGATGAGAGGAGGATTCTTCTGTCTGTCCTTCTTCTCTTAATTTACCTAACTTTAGTCTCAGCTCTAGGTGTTTGGAATGGACCAAATTGTTTTTTTTGCTTTGTGTAATATCCTGAAATCCTGGAAAATCTATAGCATAGTTCTGTGTATATAGGGCACAGGTAAAGACATTGTCCAAAGTTTATTTATTTATGTATTTATTATCCTGTGCAAATGCTTTGCCATAACCACAGTTAATGGGAAAAATGAAACTATCTCAGACACAAATTAATTCACAGATCACACCTGCTTGACCTGGACTCACTGCTCTCTGTTTTTGCTGTATGATTTAGCAAGTGCTAGAAGATCGTGAGGAAAAGATGCATGTTGGTACAATGTACACTTTAGTGCTCTAGGTAAATGTTGAAAAAACTCTTTGGTAGTCAAAAGTGATACATTTGACCACAAAATGCCAAAGAATGGTAAACAGTGGCCCTATGAAGAGATTTTCTGTCCTGTTGGGAATCAGTTGTGAATACATTCTTGCTTGTTTACTAAACACGTGCTGTGCTGTGGTAGTATTAGTGTTCCTTAGGTGCTTCCTCACTTCCTCGGGTGTCTGGGGAAGACTGTAGTTTGCAACTCGATCTGCTTTGGCTCCTGTTTCTCACAGTGCTGTATTTTAGAAAATAGGGTTTAAGACTGATAAACAGCTTTTACATTGTGAGTGTGTTTGCATTGTTAAATGACAGATAAATCCTTAACATTTCTCTCCACTTAGTACTGTAGACTAATTGTATATGTCAGTCTGTGCCATGAGTAAGTGGGCTGTAGTTGGACCAAAATGAAATAAAAGATCCTTTGGATAAAAGCATCACAGTGCTTTCCAGCACTCAGTCCCTAGTTCCTAGATGTGTTCTGAGCAGTGCATAGGTCTAATTGTACTCTGGCAGCATGGTCGGTGTCGGTACCTTGTAGTAGTCACAGCTCTGTAGTTTGTGATGCAAATCTGGCTGGAGAAGTGTGTGTCACTGCGTGGCTTCTGAAAGCAGGAAAAATTTTCTGCAGCTGTTTCAAAGTTGTGGCCTGTCCTTGAATTCTCTATTAATTACTGTGTGTGAGCCAGAGGGAGCCAACGTAAGGGTGGGCCCCCAGCCTGCAGGGAACTTTCTGGACTCCCACCTCTTTGAATTGATGTAGGCATTTGGGCTTGCTACTTGACCATTCTCACCCTGTGAAACGTCCCACACTTTGAAGCAAATACAATTCACAGCACAGTACACACAAAAACCCTGGCATAAGACAGAGAAGGTTCTTCTTATTTTGTGAGCTGGTTGCTATAGAAACGGATAACAAAGGGCAGCCTTCCACTTCTGGTATAATTGTGTAGCCCCTTTTCTCTGGGCTTGACACCTGTCTGAATAAGAGTGATTAGAGCTGCATAATATCCTTCTCTTCACAGTTTAATATGTGGTTCACATACAAAACTCTGCATAAGTTAGTAAAACGTTCGTGTTTGTATGTATTTGCTACTATGACATTTTTGAGGTTTTGTAAAACTGTTATTTTTTTTTTTCACAATGTGAAACTGAAGGTCAATAAATTATTCGAGATTTTCTCCTCATTGTGTGTGTCTTGGTCTTTATTTGAATATTACATAATTTTAGACCTTTTTTCATTTAATCAAAAAGAGGGTCATTTCAAATATTTTCTCACTGAGCTTTTTCCCATGTTTTGTTAAAATACTTTTTCTGCCTTTAGACTATCACTTTAAGCAAAGCAAGATGCTTCATTTATTCGTCAGTCTTAACTTGGAATATGAAAAGTCATATGTCATATTATGACAGCATACTTTATATTAGAGGGGATTTGGTCTTTGTAGTTTTCATGGGGTCATATTTGGATAGAAGCTGGGAGATAGGGACAGGAGTTCATTTCTTTATCTTCTTCTGATACCTGCTTTAGAAACCATTTAAAATAAAAATATATGTGTATTATTTCTCTGTAAGAGCACAGTGAACACAACTGTGACCCTGCAGGCATACTTGGTTGTTTCCAAGTTGACAGCTGCTTCAACTGGCTTGGTGAGAGGCTTCCTGTCACACTGAGATGCTCCTTTATCAATTGTTTTAGTATGCAGAGTGGTGTTAGGCATAATCTTTCCTGGCTAGAAAATAAATGGTACCTAATTGGAACTCTAGGACTCACAAGTAGGCACAAGAAATTCCAGCTGTTGGACTTTGACCAAGATACCCAAGCAGATGCCTGTGTTAGACAGGATTATTCATCTCCATGCTGGGTGAGGCTGGGGCCAGAGCCAAGCATTTGGGACAAGTGTTGAGTCTTCAGTTTCCACCAGCACAGTACTCACACCTCGTGGAACCCCTGTGGATGATACCAAATGACAGAGAAGGAGTCTGTGGGTGGGACTGGTCTCTCAGAAAGTCTTGGATATTTTGGGGTTGGGTACTGGGCTTTGAATTCAGGGCCTTGAAATTGCTAGGCAGGTACTCTACCACTGAAGCCATGTCCCCTTGTTCTTTTTTTGCTTTGCTTATTTTCCCAATAAGGTCTTGAGTTTTTGCCCTGGGCCAACCTCTGACCTCAATCCAATCTCCACCTTCCCGAGAAGCTGGAATTACAGCTGTGCCCCACCCACCCAACCCTTCAGAAAGTCTTGATGTTAATCCTTAGATGGGTGGAGAATGACTCCTGTTGGGGTGATTGTGGACAGACCTTTCATTGTCCCGAGTTCTTTGTCTTTACCACCTCAGTTGGGACATGTAGATGGATTCCAGTTTGAATTTCCACTTCATTCAGACATTCACATCAGCCCAAACACTATAGTTGGGATGACAGTTGGCAGCATGTCATTACCAGTCTAGCCACAGTGGTGAAACCATTTGGAAGTTAGTAGTCCTGGGCTGGAACAGTACCAACATAGGCTGTCAGGGCTGGAGCTCTTAATCTTCGTGCTCCCAGGATGGCAACTATATCTCACAGAATCACATTTGCTTTCTAGGGAGTCAAAGTGAGTGCAGAGGAAGCCCTCTCTCTTTCTTGGGGTACCAATAGTTCACACAATAGGCTCACCTGGGAGACTTACATTTACCTCTCATTGGTCAGAACTAGGTCACATGAGCTTCCTCAAATCAATGAGGGAGAGGACCCATTGCCACAACACACAATTATGTGATTTTATTAGTAAGGAAAACAGAAGAACTGACCACTACCCAGATTATCCGCTGTCATGGGTGGAATTACCTACCACCGTGCAAATGACCCCACTTGTGGAAGGTCCATGGTAAGCCTGGGAGGTTGCTAAGGACTTGCTTGACAACCATCACCATGGCCCTCACAAGAACCTTAGGTAAGTACAAAGATTCTTTTTGGAAGCATCTCTGACCTTAGTTCCTTTATCTGTAAAGTAAGTGTGACTAATATCCTCAAATAACAAGATTTAATAACAATAAATTTAAGGGAAAACACCAAGCTAATGACCAGCACATAGTGGGTCCTCAGTAATTTTCAGCAGTCACTTTACTTATTTAAAAAAAATTTTTTTTAAATTTCACTCATGCTCAACCGTCACTAAAAAGCACTGTTGGGAGAAATAAATAAATGTAAATCTGAGGACAGACATGGAGGTCTGTAATACCAGCTACTTGGGAGGTGGAAAAAGAAACATCAAGGTCTGAGGCCTGCCAGGCAAAGGTGTAAGGCCCTATCTGAAAAATAATTCACAGCACAAGGCTTGGGAGTGTGGCTTAAGTGGTAGAACACCTGCCTAGTTCAATCCCTACTATGCTAAAAAAAGAGTGCTCATTCTGTGCCAGAGACTACACAAAGGGCTTACATGTGTATTGCCCTGATTCATCCTCATGGTAACCCTAACATTTGATAGATGAAGAAGGCTTTGGAGAGATTATATAACTTGCTGAAGGGCTGGTGGAGCAGGATTTCCAGGTGTGTTCTCTGGGCTGTCCTCCAGTTCCTGGAATGTGGAGTGTGGGTGACTCATGGTGCTGAGCCTGACTGGGGACCTGGCTCTGCCTGGGTCCATCTTGTCTGGAAGACTAGACTTGTGGTAAGATGGTCAGGAGGCCTGCAGCCAGGGAGCCTTCCCAGGCAGAAGGACTGAAGAAGCAAAAGGAGTCTATGCTGAGACAAAATACTCCTTGACAACCCATTCATAAGGATAAGGCTGTAGGCAATGTAAATGGTGGCTCCTGGGTACTATTGGAAACTCATTGAGATTGACACTCATACTTTCATACTTTTCTATTTGTAAAGTGTGTATTGACTGAGGATTGGATCATGTCCTGATCATACACTGAAAAGAACTCAACCCATGAGCTGCAGTATCCAGCCCAGGAAACCAACCCATTATCTACAGTTACCAGCCCAGGAAGTCAGCATGCTATCTGTAAGGTGCACTTGGAGGAAGTCAGACCACTATGTCTAGAAACCCCCAAAAAACAACCCCCATAAAATTAGCCTCAGACGCCTAGGAACTTGACTAGTAACTGACAGCTTCACTAATTTTATCCTTGCTTCCAATTTAGGACCAACCAAAGATAGCCAAATACGTATTCCTAACTAATCACTGTACGATGCCCCACTTCCAGTTGGCCACCTGCAGCTTCCCCATGCCAGCAGGCTCTAA